GACTGAGCCCTGGGGCATGCAGATGTTCCAAGGTTGGGGAGATGGAAAGGAACCAGCAGAGGAGACTGAGCAGGAATGACCACTGAGGAGAAAAAACAAAAAACAATAACCTGAAAGCTAAGTGAAGAAGATGTTCAGAGGGAAAGAATAATTGACTGTGTTATACTGTTTAAGTAAATGAAGGTCCTTGGTGAACTTGAACAGTTTTAGGAGTGGTGGGAGTAAAAGCCTGATGGGCGTAGGTTCCAAGAGAATGGGAGGTGAGGAATTGGAGACAGTGGGTTAAGACAACTGTGTGGAAGTTTTCTTAGAAAGGAGAGTCATGAGGTGGTAGCTGAAATTAGAGGAGGGTTTGAGAATTTTTTAAAAAATGGTTTTTCTTTTTGTGAGAGGAATTAGAGCATGTTTGTAGGCTGATGGAAATGGCCTAGTATAAGGGGGGAAACTGGTGAGTCAGGAGAGAAGATAGAATTGCTGGAGTGATTTTTAAGTAAGCCAGAAAGGATGGGATCTATTGCCCAAGTGGAAAAGAGTTTAGCCTTGGCTAGGAGCACTGTTTATCTTTAGTAGCAGGAGGGATAGCAAAATATATGAGCACTAACTTGAGTGGGTATGATGGGAATTTGGGGAAGGTCTTTTGGTTGTGCCGGCTTTCACAGTGAAATAGGAAGAAAGGTCATCAGCTAAGAGGGAGTTCAAGGAGAGAGGAGAAGATGTAACATAGTCTAGTGAGTGAGGAAGAAAACTGTTCAGTTGCTGGGTGGCATTCAGGACCCACTTGAAGTTAGTGGTCGTGAATTTAAAGCAAGACCAGTCACCACAGCTGTGTGTTTTTTCCGAGCCACATCAGAAACACTGAAAGAAATGAAAAGGAAGGGTCCTGCTACTTGCCTGGTGGTGTTATTTAAAGATGTTCTGTCCTGTACTTTAAGAAACACACTCCTAAAGGGGGAAGCTCTGTCCTCAGAGCCCAGAGACCATGGTACTTAAGAAATAAGTACTTTGGATGTCTTCAGGTGAAGTTTGAGCTCCCTCTCCATATTTTCTGACCTCTGCTTCCTAACCTAGCTAAATTTTTATGCTGCTTCCTTGCTTTCTCATGCAGCAGAGGTTTACTGAATCCCTACTGTGAGTCCACCCTCATGCTGAACACAGAAGTGAATGGAATACAGCTCCTATCCTTCGAGGAGCTCACAACTAAGTGGGAGAAACAGACTCTAAATATATAATTTCCATACTGTTTGATAAGATTTATGATTGGGCTTGAAAATTCCAAATCTCTGGTGTGGGAATTCCCAAAGGGAAGAAGAGGAAAAAGTATTCCAGGCACAGGAAATAACATTTGCCAAAGTGGTGAAGACTGAAAAAACACATGTAGTTTTAATAAAAGGGAAGTAGCTGGATGTGCTTGGAGTTTTGGAGGCTTGTGAGAGGGTGGCAGAACAAGAGGTTGGAAGGGTCGGATTTGCTATATATTGAAGAGTCTTGTGGACCATGCTAGAATTTTATCCTGTTGGCAGTGGAAGACTATTGAACACTTGAAGCCAGCATGTACCATTACCAGATTAATCTTAAAAGGAAATTGGCTAGAATGAATAAATTGAAAAAAGGCTCCACAAAGCAGGCACTTTCTTTATGTGTCTTGTTTTGTTTGTTTTTGTTTTGTTTTGTTTTGAGTCAGAGTCTCATTCTGTTGCCCGGGCTAGAGTGCCATTGGCATCAGCCTCGCTCACAGCAACCTCAAACCTGGGCTCAAGCAATCCTACTGCCTCAGCCTCCTGAGTAGCTGGGACTATAGGCATGTGCCACCATGCCTGGCTAATTTTTTTAGTTGACTAATTAATTTCTTTCTATTTTTAATAGAGATGGGGTCTCGCTTTTGCTCAGGCTAGTCTTGAACTCCTGACCTTGAGCGATCCTCCCACCTCAGCCTCCCAGAGTGCTAGGATTACAGGCATGAGCCACCGTGCCCGGCCCTCTTTGTGTGTCTTGTTTGTAGCAGTACCCATAGTGCCTTGCATCCAGTTTTTTTGCATGAATGAAGAAAGGAATTAGAAAGGAGTTAGAATATATAGACTAGTTTTGTGACTATTGTAGTAAGTGGAAGGAGGAAAGATGCAGGCATGAACAGATGGAACGGAGAAACAGAGAAGAAGTGATGGTTTGAGAGAGATTTTGGAAGTGAAATTGACAGGACTTGGTGGCCACTTGGAGGTGAGGGATAATGAGAAGTTGAGGAGGATGACATTGAGGTTTATAATTTGGATGCTGACTCTAAAAGCTGAGTATGGGAATAAAGAAAGAAGCTGTCTGGGAAGGTAAGAGATACCTGTTTTGTGTGAGGAGCCTGTGAGGCATACAGAGAGAGAGAGAGACACTGGAGATGGGAGCTGAGATTTCAAATGTGGAAGCTGGACTGTTGGCGGTAGTTGCTGAATTCTTGGAAGTACAGTTGCCCAAGAAAAGGGTGATGCCCAGTGGACTGGGGGACCTTAATCTGACTCTTTTTACTTTCATCTCCCACCACTCTTCATCACCCCACACACCCTGATGACGCTCTCCAGACAGAATTAGTCACTGCCTCCTCTGTGGGCTGACATAACATTCTGTACCCACAACTGCTGCAGCACTTGAGTTCTGAGGTTGTTTTTACATTCAGCACGTTCCCTGGGTTGGAGCCACTCATCTCTGTGTTCATCTTTGTGTCACTGGCACCTCACCCCCTACCAGACCCCCTTTACTCATTCAGTGTTTACCAGATTGTTAAATTGTTCTGTGATATTCATGGAAGTTAGTCATTGGTACCCAGGAGGGAATATATTAAACTACTTTTTAAATCAAGAGTTATCCTTGGACTGTAATGTATGGTCTGTCAACCTGTGAATCTTTAAAGTATGATTCAGGTATTGTTGTATTACTGTGTAATAAAAAGTTTAAAAAAAAAAAAAGAGTTATCCTTTTCTCACAGGTGGCATCCCCAAACAAACCAGAATGAGAGTACCTGTTCAGGAAACCTAAACAGGGAAGGTGAACTGACTGAAGTTAGATATGTCCTTCTGTTCTAAGTCCTGCTGTTGTGATCCTGAAGGTGCAGAAAGCAGTGTGTGAGGAAAGTGGATCAGTGAAGTAGCAACTAATGGCATCTGGCATGACTTGTGAAGCCATCAGCAATGTGTGATTGAAAGTAAAAAGCTTGGTACCTAGAACCCCTGAAAATCTAAAACACAAAATACCTAGCCTATCTTTTAAGACCACTCATCACTAAAATGTATTATTATCTTCCAAAGCCAGTCATTTTGTAATTATAAGCCCAAAATGAAGAAAGGATCACTGTATGAAATAATTTCGTGAATCATCTCAGACCATTCTCACTTTTTATTTTGAAAGATGCAACCAGAGAAGAGGAAATTGTTTTACACTTTTTTTTTTTGAAGACAGAGTCTCGCTTTGTTGCCCAGGCTAGCTCATAGCAACCTCAAACTCCTGGGCTCAAGCGATCCTCCTGCTTCAGCCTCCCGAGTAGCTGGGACTACAGGCATGTGCCACCATGCCCGGCTAATTTTTTCTATATGTATTAGTTGGCCAATTAATTTCTTTCTATTTATAGTAGAGATGGGGTCTCGCTCTTGCTCAGGCTGGTTTCAAACTCCTGACCTTGAGCAGTCCACCCACCTTGGCCTCCCAGAGTGCTAGGATTACAGGCGTGAGCCACTGCGCCCGGCCTGTTTTACACTTTTTAGTCTAGAAACTTGTACATAAAGCATTGGAGGGCTTCCCTAATAATATGTCTCCTCTAGCATTCAAAATTAGTGATTTAACATCACTAATATGTGTTTTTTCCTTTTATTTGGTAAAACAATTGGGCAAAGACTCTTGGGCGGGGGGCAGAGGAAGCTATTTATTTCAAACACCGTATAGTGGATTCCCTGTTTCTGTGGTTCACTTCATTCTATCCACCATCTCTATTCTCAGTACCTCACTAGTTATTCAGGATGCAAAGGGAATAAGGCTCAGTCTGTGTCTTCAAAAAGCAAGCTCCCAGTCTAGCTGTTGAGGGTGATGAGTGAACAAATAATTACAATGTAATACTTTGGTAAACCAAAGTAGGCAGTAATTAACTCTGCCTAAGGATGAAGTGGAGCTGGACAGAGTTCAAGGAGGCTTCACAGAGAAAGTGACATTGGAAGGATGAATCACCTGGTAGGCAGAGTAGAGGAGGAAGACATGCCCAATCTGAGAGGATCTTGGTGAGGGCCTTGCTCCATGAGCTTGAATCATATTCTGGAAGCTGTAAGGCCTTTTTTTTTTTTTTTTTTTAAAGTAAATAGTTACCCATGAAAATAAAATAAAAGGAATCAAGGTAAAATGTACTAACTTTCTTTTAAGCCTACAGACTGATTTTTGTTCATTTTGCCTAGAATGCTTTTAGGCTCAGAGCCTATTTGGTCCTGGGTACTTAGTCTCAGGGTTGGAATATAAGTTCCTTGAGGGCAAGCCCTGAGCCTAGTTCATTTTAGTAATAATACTCGATAAAAGAAAAAAGTACTCCATAAACATCTATTGACAGAATGAATTTATTTCAGTTGCTGAAATAAAGACTTTAAATTTTCTTTGGAAGAATTTTTTTTAAAAGATACTAGACAGGTTTTTGGTGGGTTTTTGTTTTGTTTTGTTTTGTTTTTTGAGACGGAGTCTTGCTCTATCACCTGGGCTAGAGTGCTGTGGTGTCAGCCTAGCTCACAGCAACCTCAAAGCTCACAGCAACCTCAAACTCCTGGGCTCAAGTGATCCTCCTGCCTCAGCCTCCTGAGTAGCTGAGACTACAGGTGAACACCACCACACCTAGCTAATTTTTTCTATTTTTAGTTGTCTAGATAATTTCTTTCTAATTTTAGTAGAGACGGGATCTCACTCTTGCTCAGGCAGGCTGGTCTCGAACTCCTGACCTCAAATGATCCTCCTGCCTTGATTCTCCTGCCTCAGCCTCCCAGAGTGCTGGGATTACAGGTGTGAGCCACCATGCCAGGCCTTTAGACAGTTTTATATTTACTTTCTTTGTTTCACTTTGGTAAAGGAGTTCAGAGCTGGATTTTTCTCATATTTTCCATCTTGTTCAGAAGAAGAAAATGCCTAGAGGAGGTATTAGTAGTATTAGAGCTCCTGTGAAATATAACTGTATTAAACTTAATAGAATGTATTATTTTGGATGTTAATCAGATACTACCTTACTACTAGATTTTAACATTTTGTAGCTATAGCATGCATTATTGTTTATAGAAAAAATTGTGGGAAGGGAAAACCATGGCTTAGGAAAAGATGAACATTAACAGCAGAACTCTTTGGTCCAGCTTGTGAAATGATTATCCTAGAGCTAATAGAATCAACATGTTGAAGTAATAAACTCTAAGAAAGTACCTCTGCTTTTTTTTTAAGTCATGGCACATATAATAACACTGATTGCCAAGTCCTAAGGGAAGGTTTGATACTGTCTGTGAAATCGGATACTTCCCAAAATTCATGATAATGAGAATATATTGAAAGGTAACAGTTAATCTGGGATCTAACTAAATTGTCAAAAGCCTGAGACATTGGTATCTAAGAGGCCTGAAGAAATGAGGCTTTCTATAGACAAGGGTGTTCTGGTCACTAGGAGGAAGCTTTGTAGCAGTAGAGAACCAAACACTACCACTCTTATGAAGCCCTTGGGAACACTTTAAAACATTTGTCTTAAAAATAAATAAATAAATAAAAAGAATAAAAACACACCCAAGCCAGAAGAAAACAGCTATTATGATCAAATACCACAGCACTAAAAAAGTTTTGCTATGTCTGGTTTTAATTATTTAATAAATACATAACTTTGAAATTTTTTAAAAGTAATTATTCTACATCTATGGGTGGTACGTAGCACAACTCAGTTCCAGTGGAATTGGTTTAAGAAATACTGCCTGTGGTGAATTACCCAGGCTCTGAGAGTCCCAGCAACATGGACGCCAGAGCTCTCAGGACCATCTACCACCATGTACTGTCATTCTGTGCTGAAGCTGGCTTCTGATTACTAAACTGGCTTTCCAGAAGGCTTGGAATGGAATGTGGAGTGCAGGGTACCCTAGGTATCAGATGTGATTGTTCCAGTCATTGGAACCATATATTTCCCATTACATCTAACTTGTTGGCATTCTGGGGTTTGTGTGTTTAAACTGTATGAGTCTGTTTCTCGGAGTCCTGACTGCCCTTAGAGGAACTAATAGTGTCTGATCTCAAAGGTGAAGTTGGCCCTCCCTAATCCTCAGAGCCTGCCCTTTCTATCAACAATTTTATAGGTAATTTTTTTTAACTTCTTAAAAATATAAGTAATTTTTTCTTTTTCTTTTTTTTTTTTTTTTTTTTTTATTTTTATATTTTTCGTGGACGAGGTTCTGGGGCCCCAAGAGCGGGGCCCCAGAAGTCGCCCTAAAAATATAAGTAATTTTAACAATTATTCAATCCCAACCATCTAGCAGATCACTACCTTTATTTTTTAATATTAATGGCTTCTCTGCCTATAGGCAGAGTTTTAGACTCTATGTCTATGTTTTAGACTTATTGAATAACCTGCGATCTAAATATCGACCACCTGGGCCAAATATTTTAAGCTAGGGCTTACTCAGAGCAGCCACATACCTCATAATATACAAACTCAAGCAGTTAGCCATTGTGGTAGGAATTCATGTGAGCTAGAGAAGTTCTGAACTTAATGGAAGATGTGGGACCTTAGGCTTGGTAGGCAAAGGATTTAGAGATAGGCCTAGAAGAGCAGGGGAGGGGATTTATTCATTGAAGTGTGGGCAGAGCAGAGGCTGAGCAATTGTGAAAAGGCACTACAATTTGGGTGGAGGTGGGGACTGAAAGATGAGGATGACTGTACAAAATGCACAAATTCCTGTTATTTGTTCTTGTCCTGTCTATTCAAAGAGGAGTTGGAGTGGTGTGTAGTAAATGTCACATATTGGATGTGTGGGCTCTTGTGCTGAGACATTCAGCACTCCCAATCAGTAACATGAGTGGCTGATAGAATTGACTGGAAGCTGGAAGGATAGTCCTGTTTTTTCTCTTAAAACCACTTCTAATAAAGGAGATTGAGCTCCCAAGAACAGTCTAAAGGTTCATATTTTGATTTTTCACAAACGTGGACTTCCAAGGGAACTGAAATTAATAATATGTTGTGTGTTTTATTCATTCAGCCAGGTCATTAGGCTCAAATTTGTTTTTACCCTGCAGGAACCTCATCTGCAGTGGTAGAGTCTCATCCCAAATACGAAGCCAAGAACAAAGGAGGATTAGCTAATCTATCTTAGAGGCATCAGGGTCTGGAAAGCCTTCACACAGGAGGTACATCAGAGCAGAACCTTGAGGATTAAGTGGGAGTTAGCCAGGTGAGGAGAGGGGGTGCTCCAGGAAATGAGAAAGCCTATGCAGGGTCCCATCTGCTAGAGGGAACGTGGCATGATTGGAGTTGCAAGGAGTTTGGTTCAGCAGGTACATAGGATGCCTGCAGGAAAGCCGAGGCCAGAGAGGGGTGTGCAGGGGTTAGATCTTGTATCTCAGACCGTGTTAAAGGACTTGGATTTTGTCATGAAGGCAATAGGAAGTTGTCAAAGCATTTTAAGCAGTTTATGTCACGTTCAGTGTGGCTATGCTATGGAGAATGGATTGAAGAAAACAAGGCTGGAGTCAGGCGAGAGATGTGAGAGCTTGGTCTTGAGCATGGAGGGGGAATGAAGAGAAAAGGACAAATGGAAAATACTTAAAAGCAAGTGCAAAAGGACTTGGTAGCCATTTGTGGCTTGGAAGAAAGAAAAGCTCTGACAGTGAGTGCTTGGTGCTGTCATACCTTGAAAATGATTATGACCCTCATTCATTCAACAAATCTAACAAATATTCATGGGGTGCTATGTCTGGGATACAAGAGGAAGTTCAGTTTGATGGGAAAAATGGTGAATTCATTGAAAGAATATATTGACTTTGAGGTGTTTGTGGGATGTCCAAGTGGAGATGTCTGCAGGGCTCTTGAATAGTGTGTCTGGAGTTCAGGGAGGTATGGGCCAGATACTGGGATAAATGGGAAAAGAGAACTTGAATGTTGTGGTACTAAGTTGATTTCATCTCCAAAATATTTCTCAAAGCAACCACTACTTTCACTCCTATGTCATTACCCTGGTCCGAGCTACTATCATTATTTTTTTCCCTCCCTCCCTCTCCCCCCATACTATTATTTTTTGACTAGTCTTCCTGCTTCTGCTTCAGCCCATTCTTACACAGCTAGCGGAGTGATCTTTTAAAAATGAGAAGGAATTTTGTAATTTTCCTACTTAAAACCTGTTGTCACTGACTTCTCATTGCCCTTAGGATAGAATTCAAATTTCTCACCATGGCTACAAAGGCCCTGTGTGACCTGGCCCTGAACTGCCTGTCTGTGTAGCCACACTCATCTTGAACCAGTCCTCATCACTTACCCATGCCGTAGCCATACTGGCTTCTCTAGAGTTCAGACTTCTCTTTTGTGGTTTTGTGTGCTACATTCTTTCTCTCTTCCAGGCCTTTGTTCATGCTACTCACTCTGCATGGATTATCACCTTTCAAGTCTTACCTCAGATGTCATTTTTTTCAGAGGAACCTTCCCTGACTTCTTGAGCTATATTAGAGCCGTCCTGCATTTTTCTTTCCTAGCACTTAACACAGTTCGTTAGTATTATGGTTACTTGTGTGTTTAGTATCTATCGCCCATGCAAGTTCTCTGAAGGCAAAATCCATTCCGTGTTTTGTTTAACATTGTACCTGCAGTGCCTGACAGTCCTGAGCACATAGCACCCCATGAATATTTGTTAGATTTGTTGAATGAATGAGGGTCATAATCATTTTCATTTTCTACATTGAAAAACTTGTAATTTTGACACAGTCACAGAACAAGTAGGACTGTGAGTTATGTAGCTGATTCCATGTACTTTTGATGGTTCTATTGCATTTTCGACTGTTATTAAACACTCATTGCCTCTGGAAGGCTGGGACATGGAAATTGCAAATCAGATCTTGGGGGAATTTTTCCTCCCTGCTGCCTGTATTCATTATGGTGGCTTTGATTATCATTGCCTGCCCTACCATCAGTCTTACAACCGTAGAGTTTTGAAATTGGAAAAACTTGTCCTTGTTCTCTGGAGTTAGGCATTTGTGGTAGTTTGGTAGCAGCCTTCTCCTTCAGCCCTTCTTTGGGAAGGATCCCAATACATGCTGTTTGCATTGCAGCTGTGGGAAAGTCCACCTTTGTGAAGTTACTCACGAAAACTTACCCAGAGTGGCACGTAGCTACAGAACCTGTAGCAACATGGCAGGATATCCAGGCTGCTGGCACCCAAAAAGTAAGTTTTTAGTTGCGGTGGGTAGTTGGCAGGCATGGATGAGTAATCTAATTGTAATAATTTAATTTGCTCTGAGTGGGTGAAGTAGCCCAGTTTGAGTCTCCTTTTTAAAATAGCTTCATTCCAGAAAACAGACCACATACACCAGAAAGGATATGATTTGTTTGAATATATTTAGTTTTGATTTTTGTGGTTTTTATGTGTCTATATAAGTGACAGCCTCTGTTTTTTGTGGTTTCCCAAAGCATGTCCAATCATCATGGCTTTAAAGATGAATTTTGTCATTCCTCCCCTTAAGTATTTATACTTTTATTACTGAAGCTGACCATCAGGATTAATTGTTAATTACAGTGATTTTAAATTTTGTGTAAAGTCTTAGAAATTGAAAGGCACCTTAGAGAGGATCCTGTCACACTTTGAGTTAGTGTAGATGTAATAGCTGACATTTATGAAGCGCATACTATGTGTCAGGCACTGTACTATGCTAAGCACTGTATGCGTTTCACGTATACCTCATGGCTCAGGCCCTAGTATCATGCCTACTGCTTCGTCAAAGGCTATAGGGTTGGTTTCAACACCATCCACATCAATGTGAGTGGGAAAGGACCAATTTGGACATGAACCTTAGAGGTAGCTGAGGGGGTGGCAGCACTGTGTCTCTTCAGGCTCTGTGAACGCCTCCTGGAACACCACCTGGAACATTGACTGAGTGGCTCATTCTTATGTGTCATAACTCTAATTGTTAGACAGTTCTGCCTTGCATTGAGCCACGTTGCACCCCTGTGACTCTGACTCATTGGTTCAGGTTCTGCCACCTAAGTCTTTTAACTTTTCCACGCGGCAACCCTATATATAGCTGAAGGCAGTGGTTTGCCTGCTCTCTCTCCCCCTCATGTCTTCTCTCTTTGAAGCCAAACACCTCCAATTTTCCTCCAGGCTGTTCTTCATTCTGAAGTAACTTTTTCTAAGTGATGAGCTCTAATTTGTCATTTTCCACTTAGAATTTACTAAAAGTGGTACTCAGAGATGAACATGACATTCTCGATATAGTCTAAACAGTACAGAGTATCATGGAACTTTTTTTGGGTTCCATTTTTCTTTTATTCCAACTCAGAATTGTGTTACCTTTTGTGGCAGGCATATCACGCTTATTAAGGATGTTTGGTTTTTAAGTTGTGTCTTTATATGTCTATATGTATACATGTATATGTATGTGTATTTGTGAAAGTAACTTTTCTATTTAGTAATAAATTATATATCTTTTTATGAGTATGCCACAAGTCACCTGTCAGGATTTCAAAATAGTCATGTGACACATAACGATGTTTTAGTCAATATTGGGCCACATGTATGATGGTGGTCCCACAAGATTATAATACCGTATTTTTACTGTTCTTTTCTATGTTTAGGAGTGTTCAGATATACAGATACTTATCCTTGTGTTACAGTTGCCTACAGTATTCAGTACAGTAACATGCTATATAGATTTGTAGTCCAGGAGCAATAGGCTAGACCATATAACCTACGTGTGTAGTAGTCTATACCATCTAGGTTTGTGTAAATACACTCTATGATGTTTGCACAATGACCAAAGCACCTAACAATGCATATCTCAGAACATATCCCTATTGTTAAGCAACCAAATGACTGTATGTCCACAAATTGTTTAATGTTCCTCCCTTCAAGAGGTAGAGCATAATTCTTTGGTTTTTTTTGTTTTGTTTTGTTTTTAAGACAGAGTCTCACTTTGTTGCCCAGGCTAGAGTAAGTGCCGTGGCATCAGCCTAGTTCACAGCAACCTCAAACTCTCCTGGGCTCAAGCAATCCTCCTGCCTCAGCCTCCCGAGTAGCTGGGACCAGAGGCATGAGCCACCATGCCTGGCTAATTTTTTCTATATATATTAGTTGGCCAATTAATTTCTTTCTATTTATAGTGGAAACAGGGTCTCGCTCTTGCTCAGGCTGCTTTCCAACTCCTGACCTCCAGCAATCCGCCCACCTCAATCTCCGAGAGTGCTAGGATTATAGGTGTGAGCCACCACGCCTGGCCTAGAGCGTAATTCTTAAATGCAGGCTGGATTTAGTAACTTGTTTCTAATGAATGGAACATAGCAGAAATACCAGATTGTAACTTTCTAGGGTAGGTCATAAAAGACATTGTAGCTTCTGTCTTGCTCTGGGGGAAGCCAGCTACCTTGTCCTGAAGCAGCCCTTTCAGGAGGCCTCCTGCCAACAGGTATGTGGTGAGTCTTCTTGGAGATGAAGCCTTCAGTCCTAGCCCAGCTTTCAGATGACTGTAGTGTCAGCCAGCATCTTGAATGAAACTTCATGAGACACCCTGAGGCATAACCCCCCCCTCTAAGCTGCTTCCCAAATTCCTATTGCATAGAAACTGAGATAATGAATGTTTTTTGTTTAAGCCACCTCGTGTTGTCATGATTTGTTAGGCAGCAATAGATAACTAACACTCCTGTAATCCCATTATCCAGAGGTAATGCGATTAACATTTTTGTCCTTTTAGAGTTCTTTCTACAGAGGAGAAAATGGATATATTTAACATAAATGTATAAAATACATGTACATTTGCTTTTTTAAACAGAAATTGTGATTGCCATCTGCATGTCACTTGATAGGCAAGGTCTTCTTTCACAGTAATGTCATTTTAATGGTTGCATTGTACTGCATAATATGAAATTTATCATTTAGTTATCCAGTCCTCTATTTTGAATATTTACTTTTCTAATTTCTCCTTATTATAAACAATATTTTAATGATGAATATCCTTGTAGCTACTAATACATCTTTTTTCTTTCTAATAGCCACATTTTGTGTACATGCATATTTTCTTAGGATAATCTGGAACTGGAATTTCGATGAGTGAAAATTATGAATATTGTTATGTGTCACAAAATTTCCCTTCAGAAAAGTTGTACCATTTCCTCATACTTTCAGCAATACTAGCTATTATTCCTTTCCACCTTTGCTAATGTGAGAGGTAAGAAAATGTTATTTTATATTTCTTTGATTACATTAAGTTGAACACCTTTTTAAAGTCCTTTTATTTTTTTGAGACAGAGTCTTGCTTTATTGCCCAGGCTAGAGTGAGTGCTGTGGCGTCAGCCTAGCTCACAGCAACCTCAAACTCCTGGGCTCAGTGATCTTTGCCTCAGCCTCCCGATACTGGACTACAGGCATGCTCGGCTAATTTTTTCTTTATATATTAGTTGGCCAATTAATTTCTTTTCTATTTATAGTAGAGATGGGTCTCGCTCTTGCTCAGGCTGGTTTCGAACTCCTGACCTCAGCAACTCCGCCACCTCGGCCTCCCAGAGTGCTAGGATTACAGGCGTGAGCCACTGCGCCTGGCCTTGTCCATTTATTCTTCTTCTTCTTCTTTAGTGAATTGCCTATTCAAACTCCTTGCCATTTTTTTTTTTTTCTTATTGAGACCTTCATCTTTTTTAATGGCTTCATAAGAGCTCATTGTAGGCCTGGCGCAGTGGCTCATACCTATAATCCTAGCACTCTGGGAGGCTGAGGTGGGCGGATTGCTCAAGGTCAGGAATTCAAAACTAGCCTGAGCAAGAGCGAGACCCCTGTCTCTACTAAAAGTAGAAAGAAATTAGTTGGACAACTAAAAATATATAGAAAAAATTAGCCGGGCATGCCTGTAATCCCAGCTACTACTTGGGAGGCTGAGGCAGAAGGATTGCTTGAGCCCAGGAGTTTGAGGTTGCTGTGAGCTAGGCGGACACCACTACATCTAGCCCGGGCAACCAAGTGAGACTCTGTATCAAAAAAAAAAAGTCTCATTGTAGGTTAAGTACATTAATTCTTTGTCGTAATATACGTGTTTCCCTGAAAATAAGACAGGGTCTTATATTTGTTTTTCCTCAAGAAGACACCCTAGGGCAGGCGTCCTCAAACTACGGCCCTCAAGCCACATGCGGGTGTTTGTTTTTTACTTCAAAATAAGATATGTGCAGTGTGCATAGGAATTTGTTCATAGTTTTTTTTAAACTATAGTCTGGCCCTCAATGTCTGAGGGACAGTGAACTGGCCCTGTTTAAAAAGTTGAGGACTGCCTAGGACTTATTCAGGGAGTTTATTTTTTAAAGTACCGTACAACAATCTACATTTATTCAAATATAGTTAAGTCGTCATCTTCTGGAACATCATCGTAGTAAAATGGTAGCCACAGCTTTGCTTCTTCCCCCCTGGGGACACACAATACCTAAAGCCAAATGTCCCACTCCTCACTTCACTGAGGAGACTTTTCCCCTCAAAGCCTCAGCTTGCAGCACGCACAGGATGGCCAGGACCTGACGGGGGAGCCAACCTTGTAGGTGGGGCTGTCCGCACCTTTCCAGTCACCTCTGGGATAGTAGCTGTCACGGTGAGGCAGATGAGAAGGACTGCTTGTCTTCTTTACCGCTCCAGGGACGAAATGCAAGGGTTGTGCAGATGCGCTGGGCAGCCACGCCCATCACTAGGTCTTATTTTCAGGGTAGGGCTTATATTGCGCAAATGCTTAGAAATCCTGCTAGGGCTTATTTTATGGGTAGGTCTTATTTTCGGGGAAACATGGTACTGATATTTTCCACAGTTTGTCATTTTTCTTTCATCTTTATATATGTTTTTTTTTTTGAGACAGAGTCTCGCCTTGGTTGCCAGGCTAGAGTGAGCGTGGCGTCACTGGCTCCAAGCACCCTCAAAACACCTGGCTCAAGAACACCTTCTGCCTCCAGCTCCGAGTAGCCTGGGACTACAGGCTGCACCCAATGCCTGGCTATTTTTATATATTTTATTGGCCAATGATTTCCTTTATTTTATGTAAGACGGGGGTCTTGCTCTTGCTCCAGGCTGGTTTAACCCTGACCTGGAGCAATCTGCCCACCTTGGCACTCCAGATGTGCTAGGATTCACGCGTGGAGCCACGGCTGGCTTCTGTATATGTTTTTATTTTTATATAATACATTTAAATTCTAATATGTCTGTAGTCTGTCCATCTTTTTCCTCATAGTGTTAGCACCTTTGATGTGAAAATTTTAAGAACCTTCCATAGCCCTAGATTATTAAAAAAATCCACCTATATTTTTTTCTGTTGCTTTTATAGCTTTAGATTTTATGTGACTTTAAAAGTTATAAGACTCTAATTTTATTTATTTTTGACAAACACTATACTATGTCCCAGGTATATTCATTCGTTAATCCTGAGCAGAATGTGTATTTTGTTGTTTCATGGCTAGGATCTTTTTTCCCCCATCATCTTTTCAAACTACTTATTGCTGTTTTAAAGGAAAACAGTTGATTGCTTTATTTGTCTCATATGGCTTCATTCTCATATTAGTTTTTGTTTTTTTTTTTTTTTTTTTTTTATTTTGCATATTATGGGGGTACAGATTTTAAAGGTTTCAATAAATCCCATTTCCTCCCCAAAAGTCGAGTCTCATCATGACCATCCCCAGATGGTGCACATCTCACTCATTAATGGTATTATATACCCTCCCCCGTTTTTGTTATTTTTTTTTTGCTTTCTGTGTGGTTTTTAGAAAGTAATGTCTCAAACTAGTAATCATTTGGAAGAGTTTTCCAGTTTCTGTACCTCATTTCTATTTTCCTGTTTACTTTCATTGGGTAGAACTTCCAAAACACTATTAAGTAATACCAGTGAGAGTAGTCCCCTTACCTTGTTCTGTCTTTGGTGAAACCACCTCTAATTTACCATTGTTAAGTTCTGTGTTTGTTATTCATTTCAACAGACCATGTAGAGGGGGTGCCCTTCTGTTACTAGAATATTAACTGTTTTTATCAGGATCAAGTATTGAATTTCCATCCCAAGCCTTTTTTTTACATCTGATGAGATAGTGATGGGGTTTTCCTTTTTAAATCTCTTAATATTAGTCATAGATTTGATAATGGTACCATCCTCACATTTCTAGAATGAGCTTTTTTCTAGAATGAACTAGAATTAATGGTATACTATTCCATTAATTAGCTAATATGTTTGGAATTTCACTTGTGTCTTTATAAATTTGATTGGTATTACTATTTGTGTGTACAGGGTTTCTTTTCTCTTTTTGAGACACAGTCTCACATTGTCACCCAGGTTGGGGTATAGTGGTATCATCATAGTTCACTGCAACCTTAAATTCCTGGGCTCAAGTGATCCTCCTGCATCATCCTTCCAAGTAGCTGGAACTAGGGTGCTTGCCACCACGCCCAGCTGACTTTTTCTATTTTTAGTAGAGACAGGGTCTCACTCTTGCTCAGGCTGGTCTCAAACTCCTGACCTCAAGTGATCTTCCCGCCTTGGCCTCCCAGAGTGCTAGGATTACAGGCATGAGCCATTGGAGCAGTCTGGCCTGTTACGATTAATTTAATAATCATTGTAAGGTATATCCCCTGTTCAGATATGTGAAAAAATAATGGTCTAGTTTTCTGAGTTCTCACATTTGGGGTCTGCTTTTTCTATTAAATTCTGAGAGAAGTGTGTTAAAATTTGTGCTTTTATTGTATTTTGTCTGTTTTTCTTTGTATTTTTAATTGGCTTTTTTCTGTATCTATATATTTCAGTGCTTTATTATTCTCTTTAAAAATGATCATGACTTTTTTGTAGAGTCTTTATTTGCTTATTAGGATGTTTTAAAACCCTCTCATAACATTTAATGCTTTTTTTCTTTATACAGTTTTGCCATATCTGCTTTCTTGTTATTTGCATCTACTTGTTGTCCCTTTGTTTTCAACCAATCTGTGTCATTTCATGTATTCTCTTATGAGTAGGATTTTTAGGTTTTTACCCAATTTGAGGGTTTGCCTTTGCTGGGGAATTTTCTCCTTTGTTGTGATTATGTTTAATTCTACCACCTTATTTTGTGCTTTCATGTTCTGTCTTTTTCTTCTTACTTAAATTTTTTTTCATTTTCCTCCCCTTTATTTATATGACAATTTACATTTTTATCCCACTGATTTTTTTTTTTTTTTGAGACAAGAGTCTCACTTTGTTGCCCAGGCTAGAGTAAGTGCCGTGGCATCAGCCTAGCTCACAGCAACCTCAAACTCCTGGTCTCAAGCAATCCTTCTGCCTCAGCCTCCCGAGTAGCTGGGACTACAGGCATGTGTCACCACACCCAGCTTCTGAGTGGTATGATTTCTGAGTGATTGCTTGTCTAAAACTTTCTTTTGCCTTAGAATATAAAAGTAGCTCCTGTTGCAGAGAAATGTTATGTGGTTCTGATCCTTTTTTCTTTAGAAGTGATTTGTGGTTCCCTCCCCCCCTCATTAGGTGTTTTGGGTTTTTTTTTTTTTTTTTTGAGACAGAGTCTCACTTTGTTGCACAGGCTAGAGTGAGTGCCGTGGCGTCAGCCTAGCTCACAGCAACCTCAAACTCCTGGGCTCAAGCAATCCTTCTGCCTCAGCCTCCCGAGTAGCTGGACTACAGGCATGCGCCACCATGCCCAGCTAATTTTATATATATATATATTAGTTGGCCAATTAATTTCTTTCTATTTATAGTAGAGACGGGTCTTGCTTTGCTCAGGCTGGTTTTGAACTCCTGACCTCGAGCAATCCGCCCGCCTCGGCCTCCCAGAGTGCTAGGATTACAGGCTTGAGCTACCGCGCCCGGCCCTGTTTTGGGGTTTTGTTTTTGCTTTTTAATGAATTGTTGGGCCAAGCATGGTTGGGTCATGCCTATTATCCTAGCACTCTGAGAGGCCAAGGTGGGAGGATCGGTTGAGCTCAGGAGTTCAAGACCAGCCTGAGCAAGAGCGAGACCCCTATCTTTACTAAAAATAGAAAGAAATTAATTGGCCAACTAAAAATATATGTGAAAAATTAGCCAGGCATGGTGGTGCATGCCTGTAGTCCCAGCTACTCGGTAGGCTGAGTCAGTAGGATTGCTTGAGCCCAGGAGTTTGAGGTTGCTATGAGCTAGGCTGACGCCACGCACTCTAGCCCAAGCAACAGAGTGAGACTCTGTCTCAAAAAAAAAAAAAAAAAAACTTGTTGACATTTCTCCAGGATAGATCCAGTTGTAGGAACCTCTCTTTCTGTGTGTGTATGCACACACAAGCATGTACATGTGTTGCATATGTGTGTATGAGTTGCTATATATATAAATATTTATAAAATCTAGTACTTACTTAGTGGATTTCTCTGGTGGAAAGTCTCACATTTCAGGGATGGCCAGGCTCGGTGGCTCACACCTGTAATCCTAGCACTCTGGGAGGCCAACGCAGGAGAATCGCTTAAGGTTAGGTGTTTGAGACCAGCCTGAGTAAGAGTGACATCCCGTCTCTACTAAAAATAGAAAAACTTAGCCAGGCTTAGTGGTCCACCCTTGGGGGTCTGAGGCAGGAGGATCGCCTGACCCCAGGAGTTTGAGGTTGCTGTGAGCTAGGCTAATGCCACGGCACTCTACCCCAGGCAACAGAGTGAGACTGTCTCGGAAAAAAAAATTTTTTTAATTAAAAAAATATATATTAGGGATTTTCTTTAATTTTTCCCTTGATTTTAACTGCTGTTTCATCTAATCAATCCCTTGACTGAAACTCCTAGTTTTTTTGTTTTTGTTTTTTTTTTATTTCGGCATATTATGGGGGTACAGATTTTAAGGTTTCAATAAATGCATGAAACTCCTAGTTTTATCATGAAACTTAGTTTATGTCCCAAAATACCTAGAGATACCACATTATTTCTGTTTGATAATGATTCTTCATGTCGAGGGAGACACACACTTTATGAGTAGGGGTCTTCCTCTGCTCATGTCTTTTTTTGTTGGGGGTGGCATTTTATCTCTGATTGGACTAGTCTCCTAAGAGGGAAAATTATTTCCTTGATTAGGTAGCTTTCTCTGAGCTAGGGATGGTTTGAAATTGCAGGAAACCATTTTGGCCCCTGTTTGGAAAGTTGTGTGATACAAAATTGTGTTAATTGCTGTGAAGTAGAACACAAGTGATACCACATCTCAATGTATCTTTCCAGAGGAAAGAATTACCCTACCAATATATTAATATATTATAATGTATATTAGCTCTCCTTTTAGCTTGCATGTCTTTTTTTGTTGTTGTTGTTCATAATTTTTTGCTTTTTTCACTTAGTTTAGGGAGAATTTCTTAAATTGATATTCTGTAGGGATCTTCTCATTCATTAATTAGGTTTACCACGGTATATAGTTCGTTAGTTATTATCTTCAATGGGTGTTTTATTTTGACAATTACATTTTCACCTCTAAGAATGTTCTTTTCATATTGCTTCTTTTTTATGATCGCCTATTCTTATGTTATCAATGAGACAATATCTTAAATCTGAGATTTTTTTTGTTTTGTTTTCTTCTGTTTGTGGCAACAGCTCTATCTGAGCACACAGATTGGTCCTTCTCCTTTTGAATTGTGAATATTTTAATATCCAATTGTTGTTTCTGTTTGTACTTTTGGAGGGATGTTTACTTTTGTTTTGTAGCGAAGATGGATTCTTTCAGAAATTGTGTAGGCCCCTGTATAGTTTTTGTTCCAGAATAGTCTCCCTTGGGTAGCACAAAGCTTGCAGGTGCAATAGTCCCCACCTAGTCAACTTACTACTTCTGCCAGCACCATGTCGCACTCCACATGCAATCTGTGAATTATGCTAAGGCCAAGGGCTGTGCCCTACTCACAGTTTCTAGTGACACCACAGAGACTTGAGGGGGACTCAGATTTCTCCCCTGAACCTCCAGCTCTCAGTCAGGGGCTATTTGTGAGGCTGGTGTGTGTTTGTGGGTTGGGGGATTGGAAGGAGTGAATTCCTGAACACACCTCCCATTAAGTGATTTTCTGACCCACTCTGCTCTACACGCATTACTCCTGCTGAAATCTTTCCAAGTGCCAGGACCCTTCTTTGGAATCTCAGGGTGCTGTTTAGTCAAATTGGATTACTTATTATTGTCTAATCTTTTTTTCCCTCCTGTATCACTGTCTCTGCCTGAAATGCTGTCTTCTTAATCTCCATTTCCATCTGTGGAAATTCTGCTTATCATTTATTTCCCAGCTTAATGCCACTTTCTTCCAGAAGCTTCCCAGGATTCCCTCCACCATATATGACCACCTCTTTGTCACATTTCTGCCTTACATTCTAGCTTTTTTTTTTTTTTTTTTTTTTTTTAGAGATTGCTAACAGGCAACACCAAAGTGGCGTGAGTGCCGTGGCATCAGCCTAGCTCACAGCAACCTCAAACTCCTGGGCTCAAGCGATCCTCCTGCCTCAGCCTCCCGAGTAGCTGGGACTACAGGCATGTGCCACCATGCCCGGCTAATTTTTTGTATATATTTTTAGTTGACCAATTAATTTCTTTCCATTTATAGTAGAGATGGGGTCTCGCTCTTGCTCAGGCTGGTTTTGAACTCCTGACCTCGAGCAATCCGCCCGCCTCTGCCTCCCAGAGTGCTAGGATTACAGGCGTGAGCCACCGCGCCCGGCCACATTCTAGCTCTTTATATCCTTGGCACCTTTGTCCCTTTTGCATTGTGAGCTCTTAAGTTCAGAAACCATATCTTGTTCACCTTTATATGGAGAAGTATTAGAATGAAGAGGTTAAAGGTTTGAGTCCCCTCAATCCTTACTTGCCATGAGATCTTGGACAAGTAAGTGACTTAACCTCTGAGTGAATTTTCCCCTCTGGAAAATAGGTATAACAACAGTACCTACCTCATGAAGCTATTTTGAAGATTAAATGAGATAATAGCACAGTGAAGGTTGAAATAAATGACAGTTCCTTTTTCTTTTTTTTAATTTTTCTTTATTTTTATATAATTTATTATTTATATATTTTCTTCTTTTACTTTTAGGGGAGAACTCAGGCTTCTGAGATAGTTCCTTTTTCTATACACCTTATAGCACCTGGCTTAGGTAGCACCTCATCCTCATAGGCCTTTAGTTAATGGTGATTAGATCCAAAGTGCTTTTACACAGAAGTCACTTTTGTATTAAGTCAGTGGCAAATGCAGAAATCAGTCCAGGGCTCCTGAGTATCCCATCCTTGTGCCCACTTGCACATGCCGAGTAAGTGAAATTTTTCAAATTCCGTTTCATAAAATCTTTAGAATGGAGGGAGAGGGTTTGGGTTTTGTTTGTCTGTCTTAACAAAAGATTGTGGCCTGGCGTGGTGGCTCACACCTGTAATCCTAGCACTCTGGGAAGCCGAGGCTGAGGCGGGTGGATTGCTCAAGGTCAGGAGTTTGAAACCACCCTGAGTAAGAGTGAGACCCTATCTCTACTATAAAATAGAAAGCAATTAATTGGCCAACTAATATATATAGAAAAAATTAGCCAGCCATGGTGGCACATGCCTGTAGTCCCAGCTACTCGGGAGGCTGACGCAGAAGGATTGCTTGAACCCAGGAGTTTGAGGTTGCTGTGAGCTAGGCTAACGCCACGGCACTCACCAGCCTGGGCAACAAAGTGAGACTCTGTCTCTAAATAAATAAATAAATAAACAAACAAACAAAAGATTGTAGCAGCAGTAGATTGTTAACTCCTACCCAGACAGACTTTACAAATCCATCCATCAGTGAGTGTGTTAATTCTGTATGTGGTTCTTCCTCTGCTCTTCCCTGTTATATTGAAGGTGGCATGTCATCTCCCTCTGTCAGCTTCTTGTCTAATAAGGTCGGAAAATCTCTCCCCTGATTATGTAACTTTGAGCTAGAGGATCTGATTGTATCTTTTTAGTGAAAGGAAACCTTTGAAATTCCTTCTCATTGATTAGTAAAAACTGCTTGGAGGAAGTGATGGGGACATGTACACCATGAAGTAAATATGCCTTCTAGGAAATTCTCTTCTTTTGTAACACCCCTCTAGGCCTGTGCCACCCAAAGTCTTGGAAACTTGCTGGATATGATGTACCAGGAGCCAGCACGATGGTCCTACACATTCCAGACATTTTCCTTTATGAGCCGCCTCAAAGTCCAGTTGGAACCCTTCCCTGAAAAGAAGCCAGTACAGATCTTTGAGAGGTCTGTGTACAGTGACAGGTAAGACACCAAGCCCTCCATCAGTCACAAGCCCCATGCTCAGTCCTGCCTATTCGCTCTTCCTGCACAGGCCCTGTACTGCTCCAGTCATTCAAAATTCCACTTTGAAAAATTGTCACCCTCTTTAAAGACAACACTATACAGATTTCTCCAGAATTATAATTCTACCAAGTTATAGATGTCAAGAAAGAGAGGCCAAGGCAGGAGGATTGCTTGGGCTCAGGAGTTCGAGACCAGCCTAAGCAAGAGTGAGACTCTGTCTCTATTATAAATAGAAAGAAATGAGCCAAACAACTAAAAATATAGAAAAAATTAGCCAGGCATGGTGGCACATACCTGTAGTCAGTCCCAGCTACCCGGGAGGCTAAGGCAGGAGGATCGATCACTTGAGCCCAGCAGTTTGAGATTGCTGTGAGCTAGGCTAACACCACAGCACTCGCCAGGCCAACAGAGCAAGACTCTTGTCTCAAAAAAAAAAAAAAAATTCAAGAAAAGAAATTGTGTTTTTCGTAAACTGAATGCATTGAATTTCTTACATTGCCACTGATTATTTTTCCTTATTTTTAGGCATACAAGCAAGCGGGTAGCTACCCAATATAACCATTACTTGCTACAAGGCACACAGTAGACACTTAGGTGACAGTGTATGTTTTAGGAAACCAAATGAATCAGTGGTTGGTTATCACCTTTAAGAAAGCAGTAGACAGAATTAAAATTTGTGTTCCTAAAACGATGTAAGAGAGACACATTTATTCTTTTTTATTCATCAAGAAAGGATGTCTAGGCAGAAATAGCACATCTGTGAAATTGGCTTCTGTCTCAGATTTAACCTTTTTTGAGTCCTTAAGTGGAAGGGCTTATTGCTGGCCAGAGTCTGTAATGGACATAAGTGCCTGTGTCAGGTCAGGCGAAGGGCATCCTGACCACCTGACGGAGTGAGATGTGAAGTCATTTTTAATGAAGACTAGCACTAGCTCACTGGGAAGTGACTAGCACTAGCTCACTGAGAAGTGAGCCCGTCTGTTCCAGAAGAGCTAGTCCATGCGGGCTTCAGAATTCCTGGCTCTGTGTGGAGAGCAGGCTGTGCTTGTGTTTAAGCTGCCTAGAGACAACATCACAGTGGCTTGAAATGGACCCTGCTGACGTTTTTCTTATTTGAAGGATGGGAATGACCTGTGTCAGTGGAAATTGGTGCATTTTTGCTGTCCATTCACTGTGCAAGACACTCAGTTGGTTATACTTTTAATTCCCAATTAGACAAACTAATTCTACTTTTTAGTGCTCATATAAAGCTTCCTGGAAGGAAAAATAAGGGTACTTTTTTTTTTTTTTTTGGAGACAGAGTTTCGCATTGTTGCCCTGGCTAGAGTGAATGCCATGATGTCAGCCTAGCTCACAGCAACCTCAAACTCCTGGGCTCAAGCAATCCTGCTGCCTCAGCCTCCCAAGTAGCTGGGACTACAGGCATGTGCCACCATGCCCGGCTAAATTTTTCTAAATATATATATATTAGTTGGCCAATTAATTTCTTTCTATTTATAGTAGAGACAGGGTCTTACTCTTGCTCAGGCTGGTTTTGAACTCCTGACCGTGAGCCACGTGCCCGGCCAAGAGTACATTTATAAATGTGATTTTTCTGACTTAACCTAAAAATCATGTAAGATATGTCAAACAAACCCTACAGGCTACACATTCCTTCTCTGTATACCCCTAAAAGAACCCACTTTTTATAAAAAGTAAATATGTGAACCACAATTGACGGGCTGTAGGTTTTAGTTCTTTTTCAGCTGTTGGATATGCTATTACCTGTTTTCCTGTCTCCTCTCCCAAACCATTCCTCTCAGACTAGGAAATTGAATTACCTGGCTTGCTTAGAAACATATTCATAGTCTGTCTTTTGATTTCTAGCTCCTCAGTGAGGTAGGCATGTGAGACTCTCGAAGGAAAACAGAAGTAGAAATGCTTTTTTAATTAGAAATGTGTTAAGAAGCTACATGTATCTTAACATTTACTTGTAAAGGAAGAGGTAAGAATTGATTACACTATGGGCAGCCACAACATTTTAAGTACTTTCTTCAGAGAGGGCATTTTTGAGACAGAAACTAATTACAAATTCTAATCCTGAGGGTAATTTGGACCTTGTTTGCTGAACACAGATTATTATTTTTTTTTTTTTTTAGACAGAGTCTCACTCCATTGCCCAAGCTGGAGTGCTGTGGCGTCAGCCTAGCTCACAGCAACCTCGAACTCCTGGGCTCAAGCAATCCTTCTGCCTCAGCCTCCCGAGTAGCTGGGACTACAGGCATGCACCGCCATGCCCGGCTAATTTTTGTTGTTGTTGTTGTTGTTGTTGTTGTTGTTTTGGTCGGCTAATTTTTTACATATATATTTTTAGTTGGCCAATTAATTTCTTTCTATTTATAGTAGAGACGGTGTCTCGCCCTTGCTTAGGCTGGTTTTGAACTCCTAACCTTGAGCGATCTGCCTGCCTCGGCCTCCCAGAGTGCTAGGATTAGAGGCGTGAGCCAGCACAGATTTATTGACTGTCTCCTATGCTCAGACACCAGGCCTGGCCCTAGGGCGACAGCAGTAAGGCAGCCCCAGTCCCTGCCTTCACATGGATCCTAGTCTAACAGGGACTGAACATATGCTCACAGCTGTGAGTAGATTACAGGGAGAAAGAAATCGAAGTCTTTTATGTTTGAGTTAAAGGAAACACTAGCACACAGTTTTGGAGCAGAGGTCCTGACTCCTAGGTCCTTAAGGCCTGTTCTTCCCTGCAGCCCCTGCATGCGGTTTGAGGTAGTTCTGTCCCCATTAGCTCTCAGCACAGCCCCTTATACCCAATCTCGCCCCATCCCCACCAGCTTAGGAGAAATAAAAGAAGTACTCACTCTACAGAGGCAACAGCCTCCTCCCCTTTGTTTGTTTTTTTTTTGAGACAGGGTCTTACTCTGTTGCCCAGGCTAGAGTGCAGTGGCGTCATCACAGCTCACAGTAACCTCAAACTCCTGAGCTCAAGCAATCCTCCTGCCTTAGTCTCCCAAGTAGCTGGGACTATAGGTGCATGCCACCATGCTGGGCTAATTTTTCTATTTTTTGTAGAGTCAGGGGTCTCAGTCTTGCTCGGGCTGGTCTCAAACTCCTGACCTCAAGCAATCCTCCTGCCTTGGCCTCCCAGAGTGCTAGGATTACAGGTGGGAGCCAGGAGCCACCATGCCTGGCCTAGAGTTCCTTTTCTAGAACTTATTAACAAATGTTTAATTTATCTTTATAGCATCTTAATTTCATCTTCTACTTTTCTGTGAAGATTCTGAAAACATTTTTCAGAACTTGAGTTATGAACACCACCTTTTCCTTTGTCTTCAGTTAGACTATAGTTAAACCATTCCAGACTGGGAAAACTTGGTGTTTCAAATTAGGTTCTTCATGGCCTAGCAGAAAAGCAGTTATAATAACAACTAGTATTTGAGATATCTCAAATACTATGTCACTCTTCTAAGTCCTTTATGAATATTATATACAAGTCGTCATATAACAGGCTGAAAGAGTTTAGGTGACTTGCTCAGGGTGACATAGCTATGGAATGTTGCAGCCAGGATCAGACCCTGGAATGTTACTCTGGAACCTATTCTCTTAGTGGTGACACTCACAGCCTTGTAGCCTGCATTTCCCTGAGCCATTCATACACAAAGATTCTGAGTTTTATTTTCTAAGAAGTGGCCAATTGCTGAATGTTGCCTTAGAAACTGGAGCTCATTGTTTAGGATATAAATTGTGTTTTGTATTAAGATGCCTGGTTTTAAAACAGAATATACCCTTCTGAAGCCACAGTTTCTGTTTAGCTCTGATTTCCTATTTGCCAGAAGCCCTTTTAGTTGTGGAAGTAAGCAAGGGTCAAACTTGGTTTGATTTTTAGTTTTAGTTTTCTTTTTTTTTTTTTGAGACAGAATCTTGCTTTGTTACTCAGGCTAGAGTGAGTGCCGTGGCGTCAGCCTAGCTCACAGCAACCTCAAACTCCTGGGCTCAAGCAATCCTCCTGCCTCAGCCTCCCGAGTAGCTGGGACTACAGACATGCACCACCATGCCCGGCTAATTTTTTGTATATATATTAGTTGGCCAATTAATTTCTTTCTATTTATAGTAAAGACAGGGTCTTGCTCTTGCTCAGGCTGGTTTTGAATTCCTGACCTCGAGCAATCCGCCCGCCTAGGCCTCCCAGAGTGCTAGGATTACAGGCGTGAGCCACCGCGCCCAGCCAGTTTTAGTTTTCTTTTATCTGAATTAGAAGCTCAGCAGCAGAAGCAGCAAGCAAATAAGAGCTCATTTGTACTTTGGAGGAGTATGCTTTCTTGGTAACACTGAAGTTAATAGGAAATGCATTTCCTCCTCCATAGATAATGCCTCCTAAAAGTAGGTCCTTCTCTACTTCTCAATTAGACAAAAGGATGGCTTAGCAGCCTGGGGACTAAACACCCTCAGTCCTTAAGTGAAATGTAGTGGGTGGCTTTGTACTGGATTCACTTGGGTTTTTTTGTTTTGTTTTTGTTTTTTGTGGTTTTTTTTTTTTCTTATTATTTGGGCCTTGCAATAACAATAATAATAATAATAATAGGAAATCTCAAAATTTACATGTACCATTTGCTGTATGTTCCAACTGGTATCTCGCAGGAAAAATTGTTAGGGACCAATGATTTCTCTTCTAGTGTCCCCTTTCTTCCAGTGAATTAATCCACCTGGAAAGGTGTGATTTCAGCCTCTAAAGCCTAGATGCTATTTACCATCTTAGTGTTGAACAGAGAGGGAGATATAGGTTAAGAATTCACATATCTTAAGAATTGATGAGCTAAAAAGGTTAAGTGGTTTGAACAGACATGGAATAAGTTGGTTATTGATTTTTCTGCTTCTCTCTGTCTTGTACCTTTCATTCCATGTCCCATTCTCCCTCCCTCCCCCCCATCCCCACCCCACTTACGTTTCTAACCAGGTATATCTTTGCAAAGAATCTTTTTGAAAATGGTTCCCTCAGTGACATCGAATGGCATATCTATCAAGACTGGCATTCTTTTCTCCTGCAGGAGTTTGCCAGCCGGCTCATGTTACATGGCTTCATCTACCTCCAGGCTACGCCCCAGGTAACACAGAACCTAAAGCCTTAGACTTTAGGGCCATGTGAAACCTAAGTGGTGACATTCTCCAAGCCCCTGATTTTCTGGTTGGAGAAATAAGAGTCATAGAGAACAGTAAGTGAACACCCTCCCATCCTGGCATTGGGCACCCTGCTTCCCACAGGCTTTGTGCAGCAGAGTGCTAATGTAATTGCCTGTGCATAGAAGGGTCCCTCTTGATGTAGTATCAGCACAGAGCAAATTGGGCATTATCTTTATAACTCAGAGTTTGCAGGTTGAACACTCTGACCTGTAGCCAGTTGCCTCAGCTCCTCCTTCTCTCTTACTGGGTCAGCAGTATCTGTAGTGGCCTTGATGGTTTCCTGAATAGGATGTGGGGAGAAAGAGAAGAAGGATTTCCTCATCTCATCTTGATACTGCTCTAATTTATAACTCCCTTTTGAACCTTTTTTGCCACTGGCAAGGCAGGATGGACTACAGAAGTTGTACTTTGTGACTCTCTGATTTGGACTTTGGAGCTAGCCCAACATTTAATAGAATGATGTCATGGCAGGAGCACTGTAGTCTCTGGAGAGAGCAATGGTCCTTGGCCTCTGCTGACTGGCATTGACCTTGGGCAGCTCCAGGAAACCTTTCCACTGGTAGTGTCCTTGTTTGTAAAAATCCACTGGCTTAGACTAGATGATCTCTAAAGGGTCTTCTGGAGTTGAATTCTGAATCAAGGCAAGAGGTTTGTTGGGTTCTTTTTTTAGACAGAGTCTAACTCTGTTGCCTGGGCTAGAGTGCTGTGGCATCAGCCTAGCTCAGAGCAACCTCAAACTTCTTGGCTCAAGTGATCCTCCTGCCTCAGTCTCCCAAGTAGCTAGGACTACAGGCATGCACCACCATGCCTGGCTAATTTATATATATTTTATATATAAAAAATGTATATATAATTTATATATATTATATATTTTTTTTTATTTTTTTTTTTAGTTGTCCAGCTAATTTCTTTCTAATTTTTTAGTAGAGACGGGGTGTCACTCTTGCTCAGGCTGGTCTTGAACTTCTGAGCTCAAATGATCCTCCCAGCTCAGCCTCCCAGAGTGCTAGGATTACAGGTGTGAGCCACCACGCCCAGCCAATAGCTATTTTTTGAGAGATGTATTTCTTTCAGCTTTTGAGACATACATCCAATACCAGATATACCACATAATCTTTGATGGAGGCCATGCTTTTTAGAGGTGGCACTGAGCCTGTGGGCAGAAGGGGGCCTGAGAGCAGATGGAGCAGAGTCAGAGTAAGAGTGGGAGAGCCCCCATTACACAGTCTGTAAACAAGGGCCTTGCCTCAGGAAGGTGGCAGCCAGGAAAGAGGCCCTTGAATATGACTGGGACCAGATATCGGGGGTCTTTGTGTCGGGAGTTTCTGAAGATTATGAGGCAAAAGCTAGACCATAGGAGGGAATAAGGATTCTACAGAAATAAATAGGATATAGCTTTAAAATGAAACTGAACTGGAGATTCAGTGAGACCAGAGGGCTGAGAACCTTCCATGAAAGGAACCAAGCTGGCAAGGCATGGTGGCTCACCCTGTAATCCTAGCATTTTGGGAGGCCAAGGATCACTTGAGCCCAGGAATTTGAGGTTGTAGTGAGCTATCATGATGCTACTACACTCTAGCCCAGAGCAAGACCTGTCTCAAAAAAAGAAAAAAAAAAAAAGAATCAAGCTGAAGTTAGATGCATTGATTGTAAGTTGACCAGGTAGGTCACATTTATGTGACTTCTTTTAGTAGTCTTCATTGCCCGGGAGCAGGAATAGAAGAGGCAAATTATGAAGGTGATTATACTTTAAGGGTAGGGATTGGTGTCAGTGATTAGAGGAAGAGGAGTCGAAGAGGGCAGCTTGAAGTAGCTGAGTGTAGGGTTCAGGGTGAGAGAGAAGTCCCCGGCCCCCATGAGGGTTTATTGCCTGGGCTTAGAAGGGATGAGAGTGCCGTGGAGTTAGGTACTGAGTGAAGATTTGGTTGGAATTTGAAGAGGTGACAGGTTTCCCGTGGGGTTGTGGGTTGGCTGGGCTGAAAGAAGCCGGAGGTTGAGCATTAGGAGAATTGAGAGTGCTGACCTAAACTTTTCCAAGAGAAACAGAACTTCAGCACAATCAACTTGGTGCCATGAAGACAGTGTTGGGAAGGAGCAAAGGAGGAAGTGGGCTGACTCATTCCTGGGAGCGAAACAGGCTGCGTGGCCAGCTGCAGAGCCTCTTGTTTCTGGGGAGTGGAGGTTGGACCGGGACACTAAGACCCAGCAAGGAAAGGAAGAAAGTCTTCCTCACTTTTCTGCTTTGTGTCCTCTAAATGACCTTGTGAGAAAGGGACAGGGATGGTGTCCATTTTCTTTGTCCATTTTCTGTTGCTACAATGGAACACCTGAGACTGGGTAATTTATCAGGAAAAGAGGTTTATTTTGGCTCATAATTCTAGAGGCTGGGAACTCCCAAGATGGGGCAGCCGCACCTGGTAGGCCTCTGGTGAGAGCCTCGTGCTGCGTCATCACATGGTGGAGACTGGGCACATACGAAAGTGCACAACATGAGGGGCAGCCCTGCTTTATGACAGCCTGCTCTCTCCGTAACCAGTTCAGTGCTCCACAGAGTACTTGTTCCTTTGAGAATTAACCCAGTCCTAACAGGGTGACACTAATCCCTCTTACTGACCTAATCACCTCTTAAAGGTACCACCTCCCAACACTGTCACACTGGGGACCAAATTTCCAACACGTGAATTCTGGGGAACACAAACCATAGCAGATGGCAGTGGTGATTATTATCACTGGGGGGCTGATTTATCTTTTTGTAGAGGCTGATTGAAGTATTTCAGCTGGGGTAGCATGAGGAGAATTGAAGGATTATTGCAATATAATGACAGAAAAGAAAAATAGCTTATTCATTTTGGAATTGGATGGGGATTTTAGTGCTAGTTTGATAGCATTAGATTTAGGAACCCAGATATGCCCATATTCCTTCTCTGAAGCCACCTCTGGCCTCTTCTGTGAAATTTAGAGGTAACTATATCCAAGGGAAGAGCAGAACAGAAGTTAAGATATTTCTATGTAAAAAGCTGTGCAAGTGTCCAACAGTCTAGTGCAGAGTCCTGGTAAATACTGAATTTATTTAGATGGAAGGTGGATCTCAGTAGGGCCTTCTGCTCCTTTCCACCCATTCTTCTCTAACTTCTGAAAAGCAAGCAAGCTGGCAATTAAAAAAAAAAATCAGAAGAGAAATGGCTGGACTGCAGTGTTCTTACAACCAGCTGCATGGAATCAGGAGCTAGCCAGTGTGCCTCAAAAACCCAGGCCCTGCCTGGGACTGTCACAGCATGGAAACAGCATGCAGATGTACTGGAACAAATGGCACCTGGGTTTGGGGCTTGAGGGTACAGTGGCAGTCATGGTCCAGTTCCTGTCCTGCCTCTCACTCCAATCAGAACAGCAGCTTTTCTTCCTGGGTGGCACAGGTTAGGATAAGATTGGCAAAGGGTCCCTCCCCTGCTACTCAAATCCTGAATTACCCTCTTGTCTCAGCCTCCTGAGTAGCTGGGACTACAGGCACTCGTCACCATGCTCGGCTAATTTTTTCTATTTTTAGTAGAGATGGGGTCTCGCTCTTGCTCAGGCTGGTCTTGAATCCTGAGTGATCCTCCTGCCTCAGCCTCCCAGAGTGCATGAGGATTACAGGCATGAGCCACTATACTCAACCTACACAGGATTTTTTAAAAAAGAATTTGTTGTCACCTTATCAGTAAAGCAAGAATTATACCAAATGGTCAAAATAGGAGTTTACTTAGACTTCTAGGGAGAAAACATTTGCTCTGTTAAGCAAATTAATAGTAAAAAAGGAAATGTTAGCCTATTTTAGTAGGAGATCAATGTTTGTCTGCAAGCAATGAATGAATAAACAGCTTTTGTAAAAAAAAATTGCTCTGCCCTTGTGTGTACTTGAAAACATAAAGCCATATTTAAATATATATATTTTTTCACTAATTCAGGCATTTTTCTCCCCAGGAAAATTAGATAGCTTTGCTATGTTTAGAAATCCTAAGCACTCTGGAAGGCTGAGGTGGGAGGATTGCTTGAGGTCAGGAGTTCAAGACCAGCCTGGGCAAGAGTGAGACCCCATCTCTACTAAAAATAGAAAAAAAAAATTAGCCAGGCATGGTGGTGCACACCTGTAGCCCCAGCTACTTGGGAGGCTGAGGCAGGAGGATCACTTGAGCCCAAGAGTCTGAGGTTGCAGTGAGCTAGGCTAATGCCACAGCACTCTAGCTTGGGGAACAGAGCAAGACTCAGTCTCCAAAAAAAAAAAAAAAGTAGAAATCCATCCTAAAACTGCTTTGCTGGTGGTAATATACATGGTTAACCACTAAGGAGGCAGTTTATAAAGTACACATTCCTTTTGGTCATAAATTTATTTATACAATTTCATTTCCTTAGAAGAAAGATAAGAGGGAAACAGCAAAGATCCCAAGTCTTTGGGAATATTATATACTACATTGGGGAATTAAGTTTTAAGTATTTCAAAGAGGGAAATCCTAAATCAGTGGATTAGTCCATCTATTCTTCTAGGACAGACAACATTGAATAATGAAATATTTGCCGGGCAGAGAGAGGAATGAGGGCAACTCAGGCAAAACAAACATTTGGAGCAAAAGTTTTGAGGTGTGAGAGAGTTTGGCCTGTCCCTCGGGAAGGAGGTCAAATCTGGTTAAAGCAGTGAGTTCAGGAGAGGAGCTAGGGAAGTTTAGGAGAAGTAGGAGAGGTGGCCTTGTGTGACAGGTAAAGGAGAATACATATTTCTGTGCTTTGCACTTTTCTACCAGATGAACGCAGCATAGAATTATATGCACTCTGCAAAGGGGGAGGGAAGGAGAGTTACTCTCAAGCCTCACTTTTTTTCCCCACTACTTTGTTTTATCTTTGACCTATGCAATTTGCATTCTACTCCAGAGTACATTGGGTATGATATGCAAGAGATGTTTTGAATTATAAGTACGATAAGTACTTATAATTCGTACTTTATAAGTACGATACTACTCATACTTCTTGAACCCTGGGGTTATGGCTGTAGGCAGTAAATAGCCTGTGAAGTATTTTAAGCAAGGAACATAATGCTATTACTTTGCAGTACTATGGAAGGAGGAAGCCCACAAAGATCACACCGCTAGTACATGATGAAGGCAGGAATTTACTCCTGGACTTTCTGTACTTAAGGCCTGTGCTCTTTGCCTATACTTCTCTGCCTCCAGGAAGCATAGAGTCAGGAGGCTCTTTCCACAATCCACATGAGAGGTGTTGTAGACCTGACTGGGGCAGAGGTGAGAGAGGCAAGCAGAGAACCAACTGGAGAGAGATTAAAGAGAATTTAGTGACTTCTTAAATGTGGTTGGGAGGAGGAAAAAGAGGGAAAATTCAGGTCCCCACCTTAGATGACTGAGTGGTTGATGTTTGCCATTAAGCAGCTTAGTATGCTACAGAGGAAGAGCAAGTTTAAGGTGGAGGTGGAGAGAATGGTGTAGATCTTCCAGTTGAACAACAAAACAGGACAGCAGAAGCAAAGTCATGGCTTGTAATACCTGAGATAGACATTGTGAGTACGTCTCAGAGCCCCCCCAATATTGCATTGTAACAGTCAAAACAGCAGATGAGCTCACTGGGGCCTGGGGATTGTCTTTTAGGTTTGCTTGAAGAGACTATACCTGAGGGCCAGGGAGGAAGAGAAAGGAATTGAGCTGGCCTATCTCGAGCAGCTTCATGATCAACACGAAGCCTGGTTTATTCACAAGACAACTAAGTAAGTGAGAAAAGAGTGTTATCAGACAGAGACCTGCCTCCCTACAGCCAGTTATAAACAAGAAGTTCACCAGACAGCCCCAAAAGAAAGTTCAGAATGTACTGGAAGTGGTTGGAAATGTCAGGCATTTTCTAACTCAGAAATTTAATATTGAATATAATCTGTACATTCCAAGAGACTATTCATTAGGTTCTATTTCTCCAGCTTTTTTTTTTTTCTTTCTTTTTCTCTTAACATTTCCCTAGATTTAACATTGTGATTAATGGTGATAGTTGGCTCAGGGTGAAAAGCTGACAAATTTTAGAGAAATCGTCAGGTTTACTAAGTTTACATTCCTAGTTTCTGCCTGCGCTCCCTACAGTCTTGGTTGGCTGTCCATTTAAAATGTTTAGAGCTCTGACCTTTAGTATCACTCTCAAGACTAAAGAGAAATCGTAACCTTTCTTTTTCCAGACAACTTGATTGAATTCGTTTTTTAAAGTGCTGTTCACATGCAGTTTTATTGAGAAGCCACATGAATTTAGATCTGTTCTCAGCTTGGTGAGTATTTGAAGCTTGGCTTAAGTTTCTTTTCTTTTTTTCTGTCCCCAAACATTCATGCTTCTTATAGGCTCCATTTTGAGGCTCTGCTGAACATTCCAGTGCTGGTATTGGATGTCAACGATGATTTTTCTGAAGAAGTAACCAAACAAGAAGAACTCATGAGAAAGGTGGGAAGGACCTTAACTCCTGATTTCTAGTATACATTTATCTTTCTGGCCTTTGCTTCAAAGTTCAGTATAATGGGTCTTGTGCTTTGCATATCAAATTGCATTTCATGCTCCAAAGCCTATGGGATCTTGTACAAATTACAAATATAATCCCTATTCTCTAAAGTATGAATATATTGGGCTAAGAATTGTTAAATAATTGACTTGTAACACATGCTTGCCAGCTGACTTTCTCCTCTAAGGTATTCTAAAACTAAGGAATTAGACTTCTGGATTCTATTCCCAGCTCTGCCACTTGATGCTGTATGACCCTGCTCACATTTCTTCTCCGTGCCTGTTTTCCCTTCCTAACAAAAACCTCATGGGCTTGGCTACATATACATTGTGGGTAGACTATTTGAACAGTCTGCTAAATGTGAAATTTAACTTTTGATTTTTTTCTCTTTCCCACAGGTAAACACCTTTATAAAGAATCTGTAACTAATACCATAACGTTCTGGCTGTGATCTGGGCTCTCTGAGGTTCTGAAGCTAGAAAAATGTTGCATCTTCCACCCACCTTTCTGTCCCCAGCCCCTTCACCCCTAGAGTACTCTTAACACTCAGGGGGATGGTTTGTGTTATCTTCAGACTTTGCCATTGTCTTCTTTTATATTTCAAGGACTTTGAAAATAAAGTTTACTTAAGTTTTGCTTATTTTCCTAATCCAGTTCATTTATTTCAGCATGTATCTATTGGTGCCTGCTCTGAACTCCCTTCTGGACCAGCAGTTTTCACCTGAGGAAAGCATTAGCCTTTCTTCAATCCTTTATCAACCAGATTTCCTGTGTGTTCACTTATTCCCTCTGACATTCCAGGGTAGGCATTGCTCCCAGAACCCTCAACCATGCATGAAGGGAAATAGAGTGGTTTAGGAATGAAGAGGAGCTCAAGTGTGAGCCTCCAGGGCTAGGAAATGGAGCCCAAAGGCCAAGAAGTTTCTTTATCTCTTCCCATCTGCCACTCATAGTATGAGGGATACAGGTGGGGGATTTAGTTTTTTGTCCTAGAGATAAAGAACCTGGCCAGGCCAGGCACATTGGCTCACACCTATAATCCTAGCACTCTGGGAGGTCGAGGTGGGCAGATCGTTTGAGCTCAGGATGTTCTAGACCAGCCTGAGCAAGAGCGAGACCCCGTCTCTACTATAAATAGAAAGAAATTAATTGGCCAACTAATATATATAGAAAAATTAGCTGGGCATGGTGGCACATGCCTGTAGTCCCAGCTACTCGGGAGGCTGCTGAGGCAGGAGGATCACTTGAGCCCAGGAGTTTGAGGTTGCTGTGAGCTAGGCTGATGCCATGACACTCACTCTAGCCTGGGCAACAAAGTGAGACTCTGTCTCAAAAAAAAGAACCTGGCCAAAAGAAAGATAGAGAACATCAAGAACCCAAGAATTTAGCATCTAACACATTTAGGGTTGATTGTCCTGGCATTCTGGCTTACTCTAAATACCTTACCCAGTGAGTTTCAGATGACCTTAATGGAGCAAATCTCTGCAGGAAAGAAAGAAAGAAAATAGTTTTTGTGCTGCTCTTCAAGCTTAACAGACAATTTGTTCTTTTTTTTTTTTTTTAAATAAATAATCAAAGCACATGCCACGATGTCTAGCTAATTTTTCTGTTTTTAGTAGAGACAGGATCTTGCTCTTGCTCAGGCTGGTCTTGAACTCCTGAGCTCAAACGATCCTCCTGCCTTCCCTTCCCAGAGTGCTTAGGATTACAGGCACGAGCCACTGCGCCTGGCCAACAGTTTTTTCTTAAGGGAGGAAAATGCCTGCCTATGTAGATTGAAGTGCTCCATTGGCAGAAACCTGCAGGTCCATGATTCTCCATATTTCCTGCACTGAGCCCTTGACAGTTCTGCAGCTGAGCGTCCCAGGAGACAGAAATCTGTATTCTGTCCTTCCTGCTTTGGGAAAGCAAGTGCGAGATTTGTTCCTAACAAACATGTAATATAGGCTGGGTGCAGTGGCTCACGCCTGTAATCCTAGCACTCTGGGAGGCCAAGGCAGGAGGATCGCTTGAGTTCAGGCGCTTGAGACGAGCCTGAGCAAGAGTGAGACCCCGTCTCTACTAAAAATAGAAAATTAGCTGGTCATGGTGGCGCACACCTGTAATCCCAGCTACTTAGGAGGCTGAGGCAGCAGGATTGCTTGAACCCAGGAGTTTGAGGTTGCTGTGATCTAAGCAGACACCACACCCCTCTAACCCAGGCAAGAGAGTGAGCCTCTCTCAAAAAATATATATAGGCTGGGTGTGGTGGCTCACACCTGTAATCTTAGCTCTCTGGGAGGCCGAGGTGGGCGGGCAGATCGTTTGAGCTCAGGAGTTTGAAACCAACCTGAGCAAGAGCGAGACCTGTCTCTACTATAAATAGAAAGAAATCAATTGGCCAACTAATATATATAGAAAAAATTAGCTGGGCATGGTGGCGCATGTCTGTAGTCCCAGCTACTCAGAGGCTGAGGCAGGAGGATCGCTTGAGTTGAGCCCAGTAGTTTGAGGTTGCTATGAGCTAGGCTGATGCCACAGCACTCTACCCAGGCAACAGAGTGAGACTCTCAAAAAAAAAAACTTTATTCTTTTTTATGGCCAAATAATATTTTATGGGCATACCACTTTTTTTTATCCATTCATTGATAACTGTCATTTTGATTATTGCCATCCTAGCGGGTGTGGGATGGTATCTCATTGTGATTTTGACTTGCATTCCCCCTGATAGCTAATGATGTTGAGTATCTTTCCATGTGGTTATTGGTCATTTGTATATCTTATTTAGAAAAATGTCTTTTCAGGCTGGGTGAGGTGGCTCACGCCTGTAATCCTAGCACTCTGGGAGGCTGTGGTGGACGGATCGCTCAAGGTCAGGAGTTCAAAACCAGCCTGAGGAAGAGCGAGATCCCGTCTCTACTATAAATAGAAATTAATTGGCCAACTAAAAACATATATATATAAAATTAGCTGGACATGGTGGTGCATGTCTGTAGTCCCAGCTACTCGAGAGGCTGAGGCAGGAGGATCGCTTGAGTCCAAGAGTTGGAAGTTGCTGTGAGCTAGGCTGACGCTACGGCACTCTAGCCCGGGCAACAAAGTGAGACTCTGTCTCAAAAAGAAAAAAAAAATTGCAATTGCAGTTGTGGTCAGGATTTCAAAAGAGCTACAGGTATACTGTGGGAGTTTGTAGCAAGAAGCCAACATAATCTGGGACAATCCCCCTAAGAAAGTGACAACTATTCTGAATTCTGAAGAATGAATAGGATAGAGCTGTCAGGCAGAGAAATAAGTCATGTGAGAATGAAGCATTAGGTCCAGATTGACGAAGCCGGAGGAGGATAGTAAATTTAGAATTTAAGAATACACTTCTCTGTCTCACATTCTTCACTTAGTTTTAAAGCCTGAAAATTGCCTTTTCACAAGATGGCGCTGAAAGCGAAGACGGAAGCTCCCGCCCCTCCCAAATCCAAAGCTGAAGCTAAATCAAGATTTAGCCAAAGCTAAATCTTGGCTTTGAAGGCCAAGAAGGCAGCACTAAAAGGCATCCACAGTGACACAAAAAGATCCGTATGTCACCCACTTTCCTGCAGCCAAAGACACTGAGTCTCTGGAGACAGCCCAAATATCCTAGGAAGAGCACCCCCAAGAGAAACAAGCTTGACCACTGCGCCATCATCAAGTTTCCCTTGACCACTGAGTGGGTATGAAGAAGATAGAAGACAACACACGTGTGTTCATTGTGTTCAAGCACCAGATCAAACAGGCTGTGAAGAAGCTCTATGACACTGATGTGGCCAAGGTCAACACCCTGATCAGGCCTGATGGAGAGAAGAAGGCATATGTTCAACTGGCTCCTGATTGTCATGCTTTGGATGTTGCCAACAAAATTGGGATCATCCCTCTAAGCTAATTCTAAATATATGTATCTTTTCACCTTAAAAAATAAAGCCTGAAATCTACAAATTCAGCATTTCTTTCCATTTGTAAACATTGCCTTTTAGAATGTAAATGTCCTCTGGTATACAGCCAGTGACAGTCTCACCTGGGTGAAATAATTTGCCATTTTCCAAATTGGTAGCTGAGATCATCTGTTGAGAGAAAACATTTAAATGAGGAGCAGTCATTTTGAAGCCTCTGGCCTTCTGGAGGGAGCCTTTAAATATGGGGATTAGGGTGGCAGGAAGGCGGCTGAAACCTGAGCACACCTTGGATCTAAAAGGGGATGTTGAGGAGTTGAGGTCACACCAGGACTGACAGTATCCGCTAAGCATTTTGCCCAAAATGGTCCCTACTGTACAGTCAGGCCAGTCTGGGTTCTCACTCTGTTTTTAGGCCATCCCCCAGAGTCAAATAACTCGGATTAACACATAAAAATAGCTTCATTTCTTCAGGCTTACAATGTGGTAAAACCTGCTGTTCTGGAACCCAAATAGTACCTTGATGGGTTTTTAATGAGGATTAAGGTTGTGAAAGTTCTCAAACTCTCAGGCTTTTAACTTGAGGGAGAAGGTGATAGTTTCAAGGGAAAGAGGCTATTTGTTATATGCAAATGATAGAATCACAGGAAAAATGAGCGAGGAAGTAACAGTCACTTTAAAATTTAAAGACTATTTAACCATCTTCAGTCCTCACTTTAAACAGTAAGCAGTTTAAATTCTCTTGACCGCTTTCTCCTTGGAATTTTCTCTTTCCTTGGTCTCTTTTTGGCCGTCCCACCACTTGATACCTCCCTTTCTGCCTCCTGGGCTGACTTATCTTTTTTTCCTCTCCTCTGAAATGTGGGTGTGCACTGTAAGGTTTCTGTAAGGTTTTTCAGTGGTGGCGAAAAGAAAAGAAAGACAGAGAGAGAAAGAGTGGGGGCCAAACCATGTGGCTTTATTATACACTCCTAGATGAGGTTCTGGGGCCCCAAGAGAGGAGGGCCCCAGAAGTTGCCCCTGTTTGAAGGGGCTGAGGCCTTTTATTCCCTTTGGGCCAGGCTAGGGACTTTTAGCGGGAAGAGCAGCGGATTTAGGAGGGGCTGGAGGTATTGTGGAATCCAGGAGCCAAAACTTTCTTATCCAGGTGAACTTCTGGGTGTGGTTCCTCTCAGCGGCCTGGCAGTTTGTCCTTGTCGGTCTGTCCCATGAGCCTTTTTTTGTTCTTTTTTTTTTTTTTTTTTAGACAGTCTCGCTTTGTTTCCCAGGCTAGAGTGAGTGCCATGGCGTCAGCCTAGCTCACAGCAACTCAACTCCTGGCTCAAGCAATCCTCCTGCCTCAGCCTCCCAAGTAGCTGGGACTACAGGCATGCGCCACCATGCCCGGCTAAGGTTTTCTATATATATCAGTTGGCCAATGAATTTCTTTCTATTTATAGTAGAGACGGGGTCTCGCTCTTGCTCAGGCTGGTTTGCGAACTGCTGACCTCGAGCAATCCACCCGCCTCAGCCTCCCAGAGTGCTAGATTCAGGCGAGAGCCACCGTGCCAGCAGCCTTTTCTTTTTGATCTAGGGAAGGTAGGGCCCGCCACCAGTCTTACATCTTAGTCTCATTTCTCACTTTACTGCCCTCTGGGTGATTTGTGTTAGTTTTCTATTGCTGCTACATCACAATTACCACAAATGTAGTGGCTTAAAGCAGCACAAATTTATTTATTTATTTATTTACTTTTTGAGACAGAGTCTCGCT